ACTACGTTTTCCTGTAACCTCTTTAGGACAAAAAGTAGAAGCTTACTGTACAGGTAGGGAGGGACTCAAGGGGAGGATTTTCAGTGGCTCTCTCAGGAAGTACCGCCGCAAGCACGATGCTGACCTGCCTTCAGCATCAAGCTGGGCTCATATCCAGCTGCTGCAGCACTGCACAGCATGCTGAAGCATCCCAAACAAGGACAGCCATGTTCAGTTGTCTGGGTGAGAGATTTGTTAGGATTAGAGCTTTTCAGGAATCTAAACTTAATCCTTTCTTTTGGTGAGTATCTTCAATTACAAGCTGCAACCTTGAAGGCCAGATTTTCTCTTAGGACCTGACCCAGAGGTCCCTGAAGTCAGTAAAAAAAACCTCTTATTGGCTTCAAGGCTTTTTGCATATTTGCTTTCTAATTCCTTTTTACTGGTCTGTCCCAAGTACTCAGTTCTGTAGAAGTGTTGATCCTGGAAACATTCGTTTAAGACCTGAGGGCAGCAGAACAGTGTGGTTACAGAGAAACAAAGCTGGGATTAAAGACAAGATTAGCATTTCAAATCAATCAGCTCATTGCTGAGCCCTAACGAGTCCTTGCCAGCCCACCAGGCTCCAAAGGGAAGTCATTCAGACCAGGCCCAGCCTGCTGCCAGCCCACAGCCCACCCTGCTGTACCCCCACATCCACAGAAAAAAGCTTTTTTTTTTCCTATCTGAGCCCTTCATCCCCCTCTTTTCCCAGGAAAAGGCTCTAATTAATTCCTTTCCTTTCTATTTATGCCTATTACTCACTGCAGAACAGTGTCCCCCAGTAGATTTATGGCTCAATATAATGACTAGGCCTTGGGGGAATATTATTCATACGGTCAGCTGAATCTAACAGAGAAAGTCTATATTTTATTTGTAACCTTAGTCAGAGCAGTCATTTCACAGAGAGGCAGAGCCTCCAGGATCCAGAAGTGAAAAAAAGCAAATGTTTAGATAGCTCATCATCAGAAAAAGGAAACTGAGATCTCTTGGGTCTGTACATGGAGCTGAGGACCTCGGGTGGGACGGGATGTGACTAAGTTCAAAAATGTACATTTTTTGAACCATCACTGGTAAAAAGCTGGGGAGGGGAACGAGTTTTCCTCTATAAACTATGTGGGCTTTTTTTTTTTTTTTTTTTTCCCTCTTAATTTCATGGAAACTCCACTGCAAGTTTTTCCTTCTTGTTTCTCTGGTGACAAGCAAATAAAACAAATGCAGCTGGGTCATTCTGCTTTTGCAGTATTTCACCACAAAGCTCTAAAGACACAAGCTGCTTTTAGTGTGTTTTAACTCTTTTGTTACCACAGTCTATTAAACTAAATCTCATGTGAAATCTACAGAAAGATAGCTCAGGATTACCCAGCAGATCACAGAGCATTCCTTCTTCTCTGGGGCTCTGCCCTGCCGGGAAGCTGGAATGCAGTTGCCTTACTGTGCAAAGGCTCTTCCAGCAATTCAGCAAGGCTTGGGACTCAACAATCCTGACTGGCTTCGTGGAAAAATGTTCTGCAAGAGAGGAAAATATCAGAAAGCGTGGATTGTGAAACTGGTAAAAGGCAAAGTATTCTGGGAGAAAGGGCTTCAGCTCAGGCTCTACTTACCATCCACCCATTCCTGGACTTTTTTGTTCCTGCCATAGGACGTTTCTGAGAGAACAGCAGTCACCATCCCCTAAGCTGCTACTGACATGGCTGAGCTCAGTGAGTCTCAACAGAAGGGAAAGTTGAGTGGGAATATATCCACAGTCCCTCAGTGCCTTCACACCGGGCTGTTTCAAAGCTTCCTGCTTCTTCCACCTGTTGCAGAGCTGCCAGGAGAACCAATAATTCAGAAGTGTACAGCTGGAAGCCATAGCTGCTGACTGGAGTCTTCAGGAAGACTGAACTTCGAGGTTTTGTTTGAGTTGGTCCTTTCCTGTGTTAGCGACCCATCACCACATAACTGATTGCCTGATCCACAGAGACAGATGTGTCTGGCCAGCAGGTAGAAGTGACGAGCCATTGGGACACTCTAGAAAGGCTGACTGTAGAGAGCACGCCTGACATTTGGTTCTGTGGATAAAGTATTAACGAGTTTGTAAGCATGGTCTCAACTTCAAAATGGTGAAGAATACAAAGAAGTCATGCAGCAGGAGCAACTTCAAACAGGAGCTCTGGAGAAACTCTGCAAATTCTTTGAGCCAGAGTTCTTAAACTGATCACAGTAAATGAGATCATCAACAGAGGGGAAATAAAAGCTGGAGCGAGGGTCTCTGCACTAGTGAAGTATTGACAGATAATTCAGGAAGTTAATTAGACAGAATCAGGAAGCCAATGCTATCCAAGGATGACTAGATAGAGGCTTGCAGCCCTGCTAGCAGTCTGGGTCTGTGTTGCCCTGCTCCGTGAGAAGTACAACAAAAGTTGGACTATATCAATGTCTCCCTGATGGTGTTAAGGGTATTTATCTGGAGATTATGCAGTGTGGGATGACCTGAAAGATGGGGAATCACCACCTCTCTTTCCAGCTGCTTCTCTTCCAACTATCCTGTTGAGACAGTATAGGGTCTCTGGGACATCATTCTCTAAGGATCTTATGTAAGCTCTGGAATCATAGAATCATCTGGGTTAGAAAGGACCATTAAGGCCATCTGGTCCAACTCTCCTGCAGTGAACAGGGACACCTACAGCTCCACCAGGTGCTCAGAGCCCTGTCCAGCCTGACCTTGGGTGTCTCCAGGGACAGGGGAAAAACACATGGTCATAGATCTGGGTCTGCTCTTGGCAAGGCTTCAGTAATGCTGTAGGTTGGGAAAATCCTTGGGGCTGTTTAAAATAAAATTCTAGAAACTGCAAACAGTACTTCTTTATGTGTTAGCAAGCAAAACTTCATGGGTGCACAAATGCTGTGCATAAAAACAGGGTGTTAAGTAAATATAAAACTGCAATAGCATAGGGGACTTAAAAGTTAACATCAGAATGATAAAGTAGGAAAAAGTACGCAAAGCCTCAAATTACACTTATGTGTTCATGAGGACTTTCTAAACATCCTGCAGAAGTTGGCTTAAAGGCTTAAATCCCAGGAAATGCTGATAGAGCATGGTATCAAATGAGCATTTGCTTTTCCTTTGGAAAGATCTTCTTTTGTATCTAATTCCACCACAATTCAAGAATATCAGTCACATTTGGGGGCTGCTGCTCAGGTCTGCACCTTTTTTTATGGCTATAAGACTGTGTTATGCAGGTCACTGCATATGAAGCAGGCAATGAAGCAGGCACAGCAGTGCCCATAAATGCACAGATGATGTTGTAAAAGGTGCCTGTTACAGACTACCTGATAAAAAAGAAGAGGGGGATGAAGTTTTCTTTAGGCACTTGGAAGAATCCTTATTGTCACAGGCCCAGGTATTCAAGACTGAATTTGATCACTTCACTGTTTACTGAGAGGGCAATAGGCTGTGCATAACAACTGCAAGAGGCTTCTTCAGTGGATCAAAGGCAATTTTTGGATGGAGGCTGTTAATGAACCAACATAGGGAGGTGCTCTTTTAAACCTGCTGCCCAAATACAGGGAAGAACTGGTGAAGGCTGGAGACAAAGTGGTTGGCAGGATTTAGAGGACTATGGAACTTCAGATTCAGATTCAGCTGCAAAAGGGCCTAAATTCCATTGTTTGGTTTGTAGTCAATGCAAACGCTGAGATTGTCAACCACATACTTACAAATATTTGAAAACCAGCACTCATTTTGTCTTTGGTCTTCTTAATATATTTAGAAAGCAACTCTTGGAGACCAATGTATGATGTCACAAACACACGAAGGGTTGATGGAGTTGCAGATGAAGAAATTATAGCAGATATTTTTTTCCAGAGAACCATGCCAGTGTTTCATTTGTTAGTGACTTAAAACTAAAAAGTTGTGTTTTATGTGAACAGAACACTGATGCAAAACAATGAGCAGATACACAGTATAGAAAGTAACAACTACACTACAATACCATTAATTACGTTTATGTCTACCAGAGGATCCAAATCAAATGATAGCCATGGGTGTCTGACTGACTCCCTCACTTCAAATTCTGTGCAGTCACAAAGGAGAGCGGAAAATCAACCATTTTCTTCTTTCTTTCTACTCTTCATCTTCCCATATTTCCTGTTCCTCCATTTTAAATGTATTTGAATACTAAATGTGGTTTCAGCACACAAGCAGTACTTGCAGACACAACAGAGCTTGGATACAGCAGCAAAGTAAACAAAATAAGTGGCCTAAGAATCCAGCATGTGCTGGTTTACCAGAAGGTGAGTGCTTTGCTTAGACATCTGGTGTGCTGTCTGGTAATTCTGTTCTCAGAAGGTGGACCTCTGCTCTTCACAAAAGATGCTTAAGGGGAAAAGGTGTTCTTGAACACCTCCGGGGATGGTGACCACACCACTCCCTCGTCAACCTGTGCCACTGCATCACTATGGGAAGAAACGTCTTCTAAAATGCAACTAGAACCTCTCCTGGCAAAACTTAAGGCATTTACCTCTTCTCTCATTAGTTGCCTTGGCTCTCCTCTTGCTTTTAATATATTGGTAAAAATATTTTTAATTATCTTTAGCAATGGTGGCCAGAGAGATTTAACTTTGGTTTCCCCATTGCAGGTTACCCAGTCTGCTGGCCACAGCCTGCCTCTGGTCTGGAGACAGAAGGGCATGGCTCAGCAGATAATGTGCTATGCTCCCAAAAGTCCTTCTTTTCTTGGGATTCTTACCCCATTTTTCATGGGAAGGGAAGGGAAGGGAAGGGAAGGGAAGGGAAGGGAAGGGAAGGGAAGGG